TAGAAGTGAATGAGAAATGATTTGCGTCAACATAAGATTAGTCTATATTTTACATAAATATGTGCGTCATTGAGAGAGCACATATTATGGGTTTTTTTTGTTTTCTGCTGCTGTTGTTATATGAGAGAGTATAAAAACAAAATTCAACGAAGTGAATCTTCTTGAAGTAATGAAAAGATTTGTGATGTTGAAGATGGAGATAGATTAGGAGGTATAATATCTATCTTTTTTAAGTTAAATAGGTGTTATATTGGTATCAGAATTACGAATAACTTTTATTTTTTTTGATGGATCACACCATACTTTTTCCAGCATAGTAAAGAAAAAATCTCGTATATGATTCGATAATATTTCGATGTTTCAGCTAATGTTAAAAGTATATCGGGTAATTGTGCTATTGAACGAAAGAATCAGCTTATATGTTGTTACTTGACAATATTTATTAAAAAAAGTAATATAGAATCAATTAGAATTGTTTCATCATTATGCCATTGTACCATAATACGACTATAATATGGTTTATATTCAATTATACGAATTAGAGCTTGTATATAATCACACAATATTTTTTCGGTTGAGAAAAAGATCTTTACATTTTGTTTCTCTCTCTGAATCCCACCAACGAGATGAGCTATACAAGCAAGTAATTCTTTATTCCATAATTGAATAGTGAAACTTTGAATTTGTATTATTTGCAAATAATCATGACTAATATGTTTAAGAACTTGTTCTAAAACATGCACTCACAGAATGTGTACATGTTTTAGTATCAAAAGAAATAGTTTCTTGTTTAAATATGATTTGTTTTTAATAAGCAGTGCAAATGTTTGAAAGAAATCTAAAAAACATGAATGATCAAACCAATCATGAGAATCTTGATCAAGTATTTGCCATATTTTGTGCTCTGAAATAATTAATGATCGATCCATTTTATGTTTGAATAGTAATGTCATTTGTTGAAGAATATCATTCGATAAAGGAGATGTATTAATTGTATTAATAAGTTCCTGAAAATTCATTTCTTTTATTATTTAGTGTTATAAAAATATGAATAGATACTTTTTATTCGTTCTACAGGATGTGCACGAACGAATAGTACAGATTTGTGTACACATTCTTATTTACCTATAAATATTCTAAACACATACGCCAAAGTTGCAATTATTTTTTCATATAGTAAGTAAGTATTTATTACATTACATACATCGTTATTTTGTTTTTTTACACAATGAATCATAATTATTTATTACTTCGCCATTATATAAAAGTTCATTTTAATATGTATGCTAATAATTCTTGATTTAATGTAAAGAATCATTCTATTTTTAGACAATTAACAAACTATAACCGATCGATATAGATTTTCTTTTCGAAATATTATTTAATAAAATGTGATTATATGTTCTATTGTTTACACACAGACATAAGTAGTAGCAAAGTGAATATTATTACAATTCACTCATCTCCTCTCTACAGACATCCTAGATACAATTTTCGTCACAAACGTGGTAGCCAGCATTAGTTGACATTAATTAATGACTAATAATTATTAATACTTAATTAACGCTAACTATTAGTAATTGATTAATGAAAGAGAGAAAAGGAAAACAAATACTAACGTTTTTCTAATGTTTCTGTTATCCCTGAACAATCAGCTTCAAGTTCCATTTTAAATTTATTTAAATTGTTCTTAAATTTTTATAATACCGTTCAACAACATCATGAAAATCATTAACTAAATTAATTTTAGCTGTTGTAGCTTTTATTAATTATTGATGTCATTCAACGAGTTTATCATATTTTACTTTTTTTTGTCGTTGTGCAGCATATTCTTCTTGAGGACGGGTGTGGGTGTGAGTATCTCTTCTCTTACCTTCAACCACACTCATACCCTTCCTAAGTACTCATTTTTATATAAATCCTTTCAATGATAAAATAGTTAAAGGGGTCACAGATATTTTTTAGTATTGAAAATTATTTATGAAATAGAACAGCTTGTGATATAATGTGTAAATAAAGCATTTTCCCTGATATCCACTATTATATATACCATCCGAATTTATTAATCTACAAGATTTTAGAAAGCTTTTTTTATATAATTATACTATTACATCCTCCTGAATAACAAGATTTTTGTACAATCTGATACTATAATTTGATGTATAGTTTCTAAAATAACAGTTGTTACCTAATGGTTTTATTTGAAAAGAGTATTGAGGGACATGGGGTGGAAATTTGCGTCCATCAATCCCTCTCTTCTCTACCAACATGATATATATCTTAGTAATTATTCGTCACTGGCATTTTTTTATTAATTAATAAATTTAACTGAATGTGAACGGATATTATAATAATAAAAAAACGTATGTTATTCATTATGTTGATAAAATAAAATAGTAAAGTTATAACGTAAAAACAACTGTATGAATAATAGTATTATTAATTTTTAAAATTTCAATCCATTCTTTTTTCTTATCTGGTTCAACAAATGGATAAATATCTTTTAGACGATTGCATTCAACTGTTACTACTTTTTGTCTAGTTTCATTTCTATGATTCCAAAAATTAGTTTTACATTGCTCGAAAGGATCAAACTTAAATAAACGTTTAGGTTTTCTTGGTGCTGGTATCCATAAGTATCCAAGTGGTCTTAAAATTAATGGAAAGATATATCTTGTTTGAAATAATAAATAGAGAAATGCAAAGAAAACCGATAATTATATAGATATAAGATGGATTTTATATAAATATAAGAAAACATGAAAAACGAATAAACAATAGAATTTTCGACCATTGACAGATTGTAAAGGCGGTCATCATCAGTACATAACCAGAAACACCAGGAACATAATCAAATTTTGACTTCAATATCAAGTTTACTTATTTTATTTGACTTATTTACATGCAATTCTTCAAACTTGAGCTTTTACATTAGTTATGTTATGATTATTATGTTTATCATTACATTATTGTATTATCATTAGTTTTATTATTAATGTTATTATTTAATGTGTTGGTGATGATTATGATTAGCATTGATTATGATATCATTTCATTATTATTATTATAATTGGTATTACATTATTGCTATTATCTGTGATATTATTATGATGATTATGATTTGATCTGATTATGTTCCTGGTGTTTCTGGTTATGTACTGATGATGACCGCCTTTACAATCTGTCAATGGTCGAAAATTCTATTGTTTATTCGTTTTTCATGTTTTCTTATATTTATATAAAATCCATCTTATATCTATATAATTATCGGTTTTCTTTGCATTTCTCTATTTATTATGACTTCAATATCAAGTTTACTTATTTTATTTGTTTGAAATAGTTTATCTGGATTGAGTAGAGACCATAAATGAGTTTGATTTTGTTCATAAAAAAAAATATCGACAAATGGAAAATGCCATTTCCTTTCTCCAGCAATTTGAGTAATATTATAATATAATTTATCATATTCCTTTTTTGACCCACCAAGATGAAAAGCAAATCCAATTAATGTTTTATCTATTTTTTTGAATTCATTATTTAAAATTTTTCGTTTATCATTGGGTACCATTATGTCAAGATCATCATCCCAAGGTATAATATCATGATGTCTTAGAGAACCTAATAATGTTCCTTCACTTATAAAATAAGTAATTTTATTTTCACGACATATTCGATCAATTATCATTAATAAATGCATCATTAATGTATGTTCACATTGAGTTAGTGCACGAGGAATAATAGATGATGATTTCCAATGTGAATAACGATAGTAAGGAAAACGAAAAGTTTTTGTATCATTAAATGCAGGTGGAAAAATGACGGGTGATTGAGGATAATAGCGTTCACTATCAATACGTTGCGCCAAGTCTAAACATAATAAAGAAGTATCATCGACAGCAGTTTTTTCATCTTCTATATCTGATAAATTATTCGAGGAAAGTATTGATTTTGGACATAATGGACATTTTACATGTCGAATAGATTGATAGCTTATTAATATAATAATTGATGTAAAAACGAATGGAATTATGATAGTTTTGGGTAGTCTTTCTAACTGATGATACATATTTTTTTGATTTTTAATTTATCATACTATGTGGCAGATGCTATTATCATTGATTTTTTTCTGCTGTTTTTTTTTGTGTAATAAAAAACAGATGAAATATAGAAAATGTGATGAAATGAAAAGAAAGTTTAATAATGATTATTACTAAAGTAAGACTAAATAATATCTTGTGAACTCCAAAGAAAAATAAACTGTTCGTATTTTTTGAAACTAATGAAATATTTTTTTTTCTATAAAGGCACTGATATAATAATGCAATTAGATGATGTTGTATCAAGTACAATAACTGGTCCCAGAGTTGAAGAAGCTATGTAGAGGTTTGTAATTGAAAATATTTTTACTATCTATTATTTGTTAAATAATATCATTATGATGGTTTGATCAATGCATAGAAGCACATTCTTGTCCAGATGAACAAAGTGCTAACGGTAAACTCTTTTTTTTTATTGAATTCTTAAATTTATTCCTACAGAAATAATTAATCGTAATTGTCCCGGCTATGCAGTTGGTGGTGAAGACAAAGATCATTTTTGGCGTATGTTTACTCTTTCAATAGAATATTCAATGGGTGTTCGTTTTGTTGTTGATTGAATTGCGAAAACTAATTTTATTATTGATTATTTTTAGAAAATTTCATAGTTTTGCAATTGATCTTGTTATATGTGCAGCACTTGATTGTGATATTTTAATATAAAAAAGACCATCGTTTAATTGATGATAGTTATACACGATCATATCTTAATACAATTGTTACAGAAGAAACAACTGCATGTCATTTACTTACAATTCATAATATTGCATATCAGGTTGAGAAAAATTGTTTTGAGAAAATATTATTTTTACTCTTTTTTTGTTAATTTAAATTTAGATGAGATTAATGTCTCGAATTCGACAAGCAATAAATGAATAACGTTTCCAGAATTTATCAAATACTTTATTTCAATTTATTATCAAAAGGACTGAGCTGTAGGACATGATAACTTATTAGTTCGAATGGATTTTACAATAAGACATTTATCTAAATAAATCTAGATAAAAATAAATCATGAAGAAAGAAATTTTTTACCTGTAAGCATTTTTATATTTACAAAGTAATATTCGAGTTTGATCGTTACACCGATAAAAACGTGTATATAATATAAATCAGTCACACATTCAACTTTTCATTAATGAAAAATATTTGATTTTCTTCCGTTTTTACTATTTATTATACATTATTTTGAATAGAATTGAATCATTAATGGGAACGAAAATATCAAGACAACATCATCGAACAACTCTTGCACGTGATAATATTTCCCGTATTGCTAATCAAGAAGTTCAAAATTTTAATGAGATTTTTTCTTCAACGACTGCTGAAATATCTTTAGAACAAGAAAAGTCACATAATCATTTAGCAACAAAAAAACATCGTCATGATCCAAATATTCAAAAAGAAGCACTTAATATAAGAAAAAGTCAATCAACTGGAAATTTATCTAGTACAACGCTTGTTTTTACATATCAACAATTATTAAATAATCAAAAACAACGAACACATAGAAATAAGGCATCATCATCGCAAAATCCAAGCAGGGTTCATTCAGATTCGACAACAAGTTTCGACCAAATATCTTCTTCAAAATTGAAAAGAAAGAAAATTCCATATAATTCTCAACTTGATGTCATTGACTCAAAAGACTTAAAAGTAAGTAATTTACAGATCAAAATTCCAAACTTTGTTAAGCTCATATGGACAGTTACTAAATCGATAGAAAGGAATTGATTTTCATTTTCTCTATAGTATATTCGTGAAATTGGTAAAGGTAATTTTGGTACTGTGTATCATGCTTTATACAAAGGTACTTATGATGTTGCATTAAAAACATTAAATATTCAAGACGAAAATCCTAATAGATGTTCTATCTTTAATGATGATGATGATTATATGTAAGTAATACGTCAACAAGCAAGTGTAATGATACGCTTAAGGCATGCAAATCTTTTACGTATAATTGGTGTAACATTTTTTGAAAGTCAACAATCAAGTTGGATAACAGATTTTATGAGAAATGGTTCATGATTAGATTATTTTGAAAAAACATCGAGACATATTTTTAAAATCAAATTCAAATTATGTATCAAAAAAATTAAATTCTTTTGGAAAACAAATATATGAAGCAATGTTATATTTAGAAGAACGACATATTATCCATCAAAATTTAGCAGCAAGAAATTGTTTAATTGACGAAGATGATATACTTAAAGTTGCTGATGTTGGTGTACCTCAGTAAATTATTTTCTTATAAATATATCAAACTAAAATGAAATATTTTAGTTTAACTGAAATTGGTTCATGTGAAAGTACATACCATCCGACATATGCACTACATTGGACAGCACCTGAAGTTTTATTTTTATCACAATATTCTTCTCGTTCAGATGTTTGGAGTTATGTAAGAAAAATTTTATTCAAAATTAATATCATTTGATATTTTATATATAATAGGGTATAACTCTTTGGGAAATTTATTCATTAGGTGAACGACCATTTGGTAATATGACTAATGATGCTTTACAAATTGTTTTAAAAAATCCATCGGAAATTCTTAGTCGATATCTTCCAAAACCATGTCATTGTGGTTCAGATGAAACATATACACATATTATTCTTCCTTGTTTAACAAATAGCGTTACAATGCGACCACGTTTTCGTGATTTAAAACAACGTATTTTACATATTCTTGTGAACGAAATATAATCGAATTTAATATTTGATGTATATCTTTAATCGAACATGTAAACAGTATGTCATGTTCTATAGATTAAATCTACATACATCTTATTGTTAAGTAATTTTCAAAGAGAAGGAAAAGTTTTTTTTTCATCCTAGCTATTGAATGAAAGAATTTATACAAATAATAATAGTGATGTATATTATTTTGTCTATACATATAAATATGATTAACGAATATATTAAACCTCACTGCAAATAACTAATAAGATTTGTGTATGTTCTATTTTTAAGCAATAACAAGTATAGTATTCTTATAAAAGCTTTAGATTGCTTTATAATTAAGAAAAAGTTCTTCATTATGATAATGATTGAAACAAAAGTCGAATAATCATTTTTGATACAAATCGGTTACAATTCAATATACTAAGCACATGTGCATCAAACCAATAACAATTGTTTTGTTTATTTTCCACGTGTTACTAAGTTCAATCTAGCTATGTATAAGAAACGAGTTTGATTTTTTCATATTATGATTGTTATTGTATAATTGAATTTTAGCAGTAATCTTAAATCCTTCGTCTGTATTGATGTTGTATTTTTCTCAAAACTTATTTATATGTACTCCATTTCTGTGTTCTAAAAATGAAAATTTCTCACTTTACTTTGTATAACAAATATTGACGGTATTTAGCATATTTATTTTTTATTAATAATTATATATTTGCATCAAGTAGAGAGAGTACAATTATCCTAAGCACAATATAACTCTATGATTAATTTTACTAGGCAAATGTCTAATATTTATGTAGGATTGATAAAATTCAAGATCAATGGCAACATATTATTGAACATATAGAATACTGTCATACACGATCAGTGCTTTATTTGTATTTATACAGATTCTCATAGAACCATTTTCTTTTTCTTGTTTTCTTCTCAATCTATTATTATACTTATTTATAGATACTATTTGAATAAAAAAATAAAGATATTTTTATATTTCTCATTTTATTTTACAAAAACACAGAGAAAAAAGAAAAGAATTTATACAATATTCATTTCAGGTATTCAGCTTTTCTAATTAATATAATGTTGATGAATAGAAGCGGGAATACCAGTTATTGGTTGATAATAATTATTACCTATTGGAGTAAA